CCCCTCCAGCCCTCACCTGCCCCGCCCCAGGCCTTCCCCACACGACTGCCTGTGTCCATGGGTTATGCATCTGTGCGTGTCAGTTCTTTGGTTAATCTCCCCCCACCCACCCCTCCCTTCCCTCTGAGGTCCCTCCGTCTGCTCCATGCTTCCATGTCTCCGGATCTATTTTGTTCATCAGTTTATTTTGTTCATTAGAGTCCACATATGAGTGAGATCTTGTGATACTTGAAGCAAACACTTGATCACAAAAACCAACCTACGTCATCGGAACCAAGAAGTGCAAGGTCACCCTCACGCCCAGCAGCCCTTCGGAAGACAAGCCCCGAGGGAATTTACAGAGCCCCGGGCTCCACGTACCTTATTTTCCCACATGTCCAGGAGTATAATAGTTGCAGTTTCCCCATCAACAAGCAGCGTTCGCTCATAGGTGTCTTCTAGGAAGGAAAGAACAGTGGTATTGGAGTCAGCAATCAGTAACACTTTTATATAAGAGGACCATGCAAAAAATAGACTAGAAAACAAGTATTCTAAATATGGAATTAATTAAGTAAATATCCCCGTATTCATAAAGGCAAGATTCTCTCTTTTATCACCTTCAACAACATTCTACGTATGTTCCTCCGGTCCTTAGAGGCAGGACGCCTGCGTCCTCTGAATGCGAATCACTGGACCGCCTGCAGTGCGAGGCCCGCTTTTCCTCATGCCTAGATCTGTGCTATAGAAAACCATCCATGAGTATAAACCCACTGGAGAGCTTCAGACTTGGATTCGAGCTCCGAGACCACGAGAAGACACCAGCTGCCCCGTGGAGCTGTGAGCCTTGCTCATAGGCCTTACAATCACTGCACCCTTCGGTGGGTGATCACTGAGCATTCACTGGCCATTTCAGGAACTCTGAGCGAAGAGACACTTCTCTTCTTTTGAGACATGAAAAAAATAAAATAAAATAAAAATCTTGAGACTATCCCTGCTTTGTTTTCTTCCTTAAAAAACACATCTCCCTAGGACTAAACGGGCTTGTTTTTCTATCTTAGGGACAGCAGAAGTGCAGCCTCCAGTTCTGCTTAGCCGTGGAAGCTCCTCCCTGCATTTGAGCCCAGGCTGCGTGTGGATGAAGGGTGAGCACAGTGTAACGGGCCAAGGCAGCTCCAGCCCAGAAAAATCAGTGGGGCGGAGGGGCGGTTAACTGACTTAACTGGAAGTTTTGCAGGTAAGATTCCCATCACCTCCATGATTGAGCCCATCCCACTCTATTTTCACATTCATCATTTAAAACTTACAATTTTTATAGTTATTTCTTTAATCCTTTTTCTTGCTGTTCCTTTTGCCTAGAATCTGTTCCCTCAAATATCTGGCCACCTTCTGGGTGAGGCATCTATTTATTATTTATAATTTATTTATTTATTTATTGTATTATCTTTATTGTTGAAAATGTTACAGATGTCCCTTTTCCCCCATTGATCTCCCCTTCCCTGCACCATCCCCTCCAAGCCTTCATAATAAGAAGTAGAAATAGAGAGAGAAACAGGCATAAAGAATTGGAATGGCAATAGGTAAGTACCTATTAATAATAACCTTAAATGTAAATGGATCAAATGTTCCAATCAAAAGACATAGGGAGCTGAATGGATAAGAAAACATGACCCAACTATATGCTGTCTACAAGAGACCCACCTCAGAACAGAGGTCGCACACAGGATGAAAACAAACACACAAACAAANCTCGCCAGGCCTTGCCCACTGCTGTGTCCATGGGTTATGCATTTCTGCATCTATGTTCTTTGGTTAATCTCTCCCTCCAATGTATGCCCTGACCATCCATTCAAACACCTTTCTCTACTAACATTCCTTACTCCCCTGTTTTATTTTTCTTCACTGTGCTTATCTCCATCTAACATGCAATCGATTTAGTGTACTCCTTTTATTATTTAATGTCCCTCCCTGTGCTCAGAATGTTAAGGCGTGGATCTACATCTGTGCTGTTGACCGCTCTAACCCCCAGCACCCAGGACAGAGCCTGGGACAGTGCAGGTGCTCAGTAAATACTTATCAAATGAATGAATGAGTCATAAAGTCAGCACTGCGGCTGTGAGCACCAGCGAACCTAAATTAGAATCCGAGCACTACCCTCTATTAATTGTGTGGCTCTGGACTGCTTACGTAAACTCTCTGGCCCTTCAGCTATGAGCTGGGATTGACAAAAGCATCCACGTCTTAGGGCTGTCTGACGATTACAGACATTATGCCTGCACAGAAAGTAGAAATGCAGTAAACGTTAGCTGCTCTCATCACTTCCTCAGATGGAGGCCGTCTGCTCTTGCTATTCTCGGCCCTTCTTGCTGTACCTAAGTTGGAGCTTAAAGGCAGCACCTGGGCCCAGGCGGGTGGCTCAGTTGGTTGAAGTGTTGTCCCATGCACCAGAAGGTTGTGGGTTCGACTCCCAGTCAGGGCACATACCTAAGTGGCAGGTGCAATCCCCAGTCGGGGTGCCTACGGAAGGCAACCGATCGATGCATCTCCCTCACACCGATGTCTCTCTCTCTCTCTTCCTTTTTCTCTAAAAAAAACAAACAATAAAAACATATCCTCAGTTGAGGATTAAAAAAACAAAGCACTACAATGGGGAACCAGGGCAATTTCTTTTTTTATTACAGTGAGGGGTTTCTAAAAAGCGGCACTCCTCCATCTAGGAACCAGAATCGGGAAGGAAGAGCAAAGCAAGCAGGGCCCCGTGAGGAGAAAGGGAACCAGGGAGGACTGGCTCTGTCTTCCTGTCAGTCTCCCCGCTGCCTTCAGGGGTCATTCTTCTAATCAGTGGTCATTGTTCCCCCTGGGGCATTAGCCATCCGTATGCCCATCGTGTCTGCCTCCCACAATATTCAGCATGAGTCGGATCACCGTGGGTGCACCATTTGGCTTACTGGAGAGTGGGGCCTCGTGACCGCAACAAGCAAATTCATATAACCAAGCGGTTGTATCGGAACCGAAGCAGCACAGGTGGGGAGGTGGGGGCTTTGTCTAAAAGCTCTCCCTGCGCTCAGAAAACTCAGCAGAGCCCTTTCTCTGCCCTCAGCCCGCCGCTCAAAACAGGTACAAGGGACTTGCTTGAGTCCCTGGCGGCTGAAACAGGAACGTGCCGTGTTCCCACAGCTGAGGAAAAAAGCCGACGGACGTTCACCTCACACTCGCCATGTGCCAGGCGCTATGCCACCTGCTTACGACGGTACCTCCTTTAAGCCCCTCAGGACCACGAAGCAGGTATTCTCTCTCCTTTACTAATGGGGAATCCTGCCCGAGAGCACGCAGCTGGCCCACGCTGAAGCCGGGACCGAGCCCACACCAGCAGGCCGCGCGCCCAGTGCCCATTCGGGCACTGCCCGTGTGCGCGGTGCCTTCTCACCTGCCTGGAAGCCCCCAAATCCTGCTCGTCCTTAGGGTCCAGCTCAGAGCCCACCTCTTCTAGGAACCCTGTTTCTGACTTCCACGGCCAGAAGTAGTCTTTCCTCCTCTGAGTTCCCACAGCACTGTCCCTGTACATCTCTCCAGACACTTATCACCGCCCCTCGAGTTACGGTTGGCGGGTCCCTGCTCTCACCTCCATGGCATATGCCATAAGCGTCGTCGGGGAAAAACCCACAACTCTGTCCCCACAGTCTCCACCCAGTTCCACGGTGTATGTTCAGTAACTGCTCAGAGATGACTGAGCGGCTGAATGAATAAATACATGAAGGGCATTCAATGTGCACACAGTCATAAGGCTGTTCCAACGTAACCACACAGCACCCATCTTTATCAGGAGAAGTAGTGATGAGAGTATTGTGCAGATTTTTTTCTTAAGGTTAATGCTGAAAACAACAACATAGGGCTGTGCCCCAGAAAATCCTCATCTTGGGGAACATAAAGCCCACTAGTGATTCCAACAGCCAGCTACAGAGCAGGGAGGTGATCCCAGGTGGGACAAATTAAGTTGCTCAATTAGGACGCATTAGATGGGTCACCTGAGCAGCTTCTTGATGCCAAAGATTCTCTATTTAAAGAGGTAAAGAAATGAGTCTTGCCTCCTCTCCCCCATTAAACGAAAAGGTTCCCAAATACCGAAGGCTGGCTCCCAAATCCCAGGTAGGAGCTGGTCTTCCGAACCCTCTGGGCCTATGGGAAAACTACCCTCCACATAAATACCACTCCACTCTGACAAACATTTCTGAAAGTCTGCTATCCACTAACTTTTACAATTTCCCCCTCTTAAAAAAACCAAAAACTTTCAGGTAATCCCTCCCTTCGGTTAATCCCCAAAGCACTTCATTGTTGCTTCTTAAGGTATTCGTGCGTTTTGCCCGGCCCTGGATTACAGCCGCTGGTACCAGCAGCTTCCCAAGAGGGTCTGCTCTGCCTGGTCCACCACAGAGCCTCAGCCGGAGCCAGGCGCGGCCAAGCCCGGCCCCACGTGCTGTGGCGCTTAAAAGCATTTGGACGCCAAATCCAAGGGCTGCAGGGTGCAGCGAAGGAACGCGGGATTTGGGCTCAACAACGAGGTTTGAAGCCTGCCAGGCCACGGACTAGCTTTTCCACCCTGGGAAGGTCGCTGGCTTCCTAAGCTTCCACTTCTTCACCTGTAAAACAGGTATAAGTACCAAATTGGTTCAGTTTTGATACGCGTTATCAAAAATGTTAACGGGAAGTACTTAGCACAGCGCCTGGCACACAGGCTCCCTGCCAATGACAGAATGAAGACAATATCAAACCAAGACGATAAAGCCCCATGTTCTAACCCCTGCTAACCCACTTGGTATCCCTGAGACTCAGTTTACTCCTGTGAGCACAAACATTTTGTGAGGACCAAAATAAACAGCAGCAAAGACAAGGCACCCACATAAAGTGCCTCCCCACTGCAAATGTGTGCTCTGTCTTTTTGTTTTTTCAATCCTCTCCCGAGGATACTTTTTCCAGTGCTTTCCAGAGAAAGTGGGGGGGGGGAGAGAGCAAGAGCGAGAGAGAAAGATCAGTGTGAGAGAGACGCATCGACTGGTTGCCTCCCATGGGCACCGTGACTGAAGCCTGCAACCGAGGTACATGCCCTTGACCAGAATCGAACCCAGGACCCTTCAGTCCGAGGGCCGAAGCTCTAACCACTGAGCAACTGGCTAGGGTGCAAACGTGCATCTAAAAGTTAGTTACTCCCTCCCTCCTACAGCCACAGTCGTCCACCAGCCTTCAAAAGGAAAGAAAAGAGCCGTTGAAGGACACTGACTCTGCCTCTCCCTTGACTCTTGTTTAGCTACAGTCCCCGAGCGTCCAGCGTGCGGAGAGAAATCAATGTCCCGATCGATGAGTCATCACTTACAGGCCAGGTCCGGAGCCTGCCTTCCGGAGCAGTGGATTCCCTCACGGAGGGGACAGTCAGGGGAATAAACATCTCATGGAAGCGGGCAGACAGTACCAGGGACGGAGCAAGACTCCTGAGCAACAAGTGCAGGGCAGAACTGAGTCATCACTAAGCACCTCCCCCCTCCCCCGAGCCGTGATTCAGCTGCGGCTCACGGGTGAAATTCAGACAGCCGGTGCCACTCGGGCAAGGTGCTTCCTCCATTTCCACGGCTGCGACTAGGGACATGCAGCCACCCTGGCCAGGCAGGCGAGGACGGAAACCATGGCTGAAAGACACAGTCTGAGTACCATGGACAATCAGGATCTTCCCGTCAGTCCCCAGAACACAGCGCTGTGCTTTCCACGATTGGAGGCACACGTGTACTGTGGAGACGGTGTGTGTGGCCTCAAATCAGTTTTAAAACCAGGCATGGTGCCCGGCCGGGCGTGGCTCAGGGGCTGAGCGTCGACCTGGGATCCAGATGATCGGGGTTCAATTCCCGGTCAGGGCACAGGCTCGATCCCCAGTCGGGGGCGTGCAGGAGGCAGCCGATCAATGACTCTCTCATCATGGCTGTTTCTATCTCTCTCTCTCCCTCCCCTTTCCTCTCTCTGAAATCAATAAAGATACATTAAAAACACACACACCAGACATGGCTTAAACATTTTAAATGGAATCATACAGGGAAAGTTTTCTTGAAAAACTGTAAGACTCTATACAAACATATGTATCATTATTGCTATAATTAAAAAATGTTTAAAAACATTGTAGTATTTCAAATACAGATTTTAAACTATGTTACACCCTCAAAAGCCACTCTAATATTGGTGGAAATAAACTGATGAATCGGTTTTTCAAATCGGTTTAGTTTCAGGATTAACCACGGGAAAAAGCTGCATCTACAGTGACCTCCTGAAAGGTCCGGGGCAGAGCTGGCAGGAACCAGAGGTGGGGGCCTTACCCTCTAGCTCTGCCCTCTTCCATCGGTGCCCCCAGGCCCGTTAGAGCTGGAATCTAAGAAACCCCCCTTCTGTTTTATCTATAAGCGTTTTCATTTATTGTCCCACAGGCCTGTGCCAATGCTTTTCTGGGGACTTAGCTCCCCGGTCAGTGCCAAGAACGCATAACTGCAGTTCTCAACTCTGCAGATAAACGACCCACTCTGGGCCACTGCTGACCTACGGACGGACAGAAGCGCCCTGGAGCCGGGCCACCTACCTCCCAGCACCTCGCAGTCGCTGTCCACGCTGTCATGCACGCCCGCAAAGATGTTGGCCAGAGTGGACTTGCCCACCCCCTGCTCCCCTATGAGCACCACCCGGTAGGAGGGGTTCCCCGACTCCGAGGAGATGACTGAGTCCGTGGAGTCAGAGGACCAACTGCGGCGGCAGGGCTCCTCGGGGGGAGCGGGGTGCCGGCTGCGCTGGCTGCGCTGGGGGGGCTCCCTCTGCACCACGAGGTGCCTGAAGTCCGCCGGGATGCTCCAGCGCTGCTGCGGCGGCACAGCCACCGGGCCCTGGCGCATGGTGACATTATTGAGGGTCATCGTGGGGTCCTGGAGAGCAAAGTGGCCAAAATGTTAGCAGTTCTAATAAGCATGGGCAAGAGCTCAGGGGGCTCAGACGCACAGTGGGTCATCAGTGATATTCTATTAACTGGGCGAGACCCCAGTAGTCCTAACGTAAGGAACATCGGCGAAACAGCCCCCAAATCCAACAGGCTTTCGACTGGACACACGCACAGACACACATGCACAGTTAGAAACCAGCTCCTGCGCTGACCATCCATCATTTGCAAAGAGAAAAAAGGTACCGTTAGCAGCGCCCACCGCCCCGGGGCCGCCTCCATCCTCAAGGGAGCCCTGGGAGCCCACTCGGAGCCCGCACTCAGGCAGCCAGAAGGGACCGCAGCCCCAGGGAGGGCTGGAAAGTCCAGGAGCTAATGGAGCTGGGAGCCAGGGTGCCAGGTTAGCTGCTCTTGTCTAAACATGGCTCTTAATTGCACCAGCGGGTTTGTGCCTGGGTGGGGAACACGTGGCCATGACATCACTCCCGCAGGCCGGGCTGGACAGGCACTTATTGGGACTTCCATGTTTAGTAAAGTTGCCCTGATGCTCTCCAGCTGCCTAAATGAGCTATTATTTGGGGGCGGGGAATAAAGAATCCCTGTTTGAGGTTTAAGCCACAGCTCTGCCCTCTTGCCCACGTTTAAACCATGCCAGCCCCAAGCCTTGTCCTTCTGGCAGGGAAATGACCTGCTCACGTTCAGACCTATCACACTGGCAGGAAAAAAAAGAAAAGGCTTAATTCCTATTAAACCACGCCCGCTCCTGGAGTTTTTTAATCCAACCCGGATTTCCACCTTCCTGCAGGGAACCAGGAGGCGCAGGACCCTCGCCGACGGAGCTCGGCCACCTGGCAACAATGTTGCCTTCGCGAGCCCCGCGCCGCCCCGCACTCGGCTCCACCGCCCGCACTCGGCCACCTGGCAACAATGTTGCCTTCGCGAGCCCCGCGCCGCCCGCACTCGGCTCCACCGCCCGCACTCGGCCACCTGGCAACAATGTTGCCTTCGCGAGCCCCGCGCCGCCCCGCGCTCCACTGCGCCGCCCGCCTGAGCTAAGCGCAGGGAAGTCTCACATTCACCAGCGATATCCGCTCGCGAAAGTGTGCGGGACACAGACACTCCCTTCCACTCCCGCCCCACACTCCACACTCCCACACGCCGGCCTCCAGCCGCGATGACCCGCGGGTTTCTCAACCTCGGACGCAGCGCCCGCGTGGGCACTCCGCACGCAAACAGCCAACGCCGAGCGCCGCTGACCGCTCCTCAGCCCGCAGGAGGAGGTGACCCTCCCCCTGAACTGAACTGAACAAGAACCTGCGGTTGACAAATGGTCCTTAAAACCCGCCTCCACCCGGAGAACCCCGGCGCCGACGGCACGTTCCAGGGGCTGCGTCTCAACTTAGTTTGGGGGCTGGGAACGCTCGCTCCCGGACTGCCAGAGGGCCCCCCAGAGAGCCCCTTACCTGGCTCGGCCGGGTGGGCATCCCCGCCTCGGTGCGCGCGTGCGGGGGTGCGCGCCAAAG